CCACTTCTACCATACTTGGGATCGGAAGACTTGCACCACTGAGCCGGCTCATTAAATATTGTTGATCCTCTCCTGTATTCCCACCATTATTCTAGGAATTTGAGGTAAGAGATCTGTTTATGTCACAAAAGTAGCCTTCCTAAGATCCTCGTTCTTCTGACCACCAATACCAGTGACCATAAAGATGTGGTCATGTCCTGTGAAACATGAGTCAAACTTCATTTGTATGTGGATTTTGAGAAATCATTTTGTTCTTAGGTCAAAAATGCTAGTTCAAGAAATTAAATAATGACACATTCTCTGGACCACCAGAAGGTTCAAAATAGATTCCAGAGTTTGGAGAGAGACAGACCAATCAACTTAGGAAAAAAATGAAAGGTCTAGATTTTTGGATTGAACACAAATGTGAAGAGACACACACACAAAAGACTAGGAGCCACTAGAACCTTGGTAGGTATGACTCTGGTACAAAAATTAGCAAAATACCAGAAATTTTGAAGAAGAAAATAAACAGCAGCAGAGAACTCAAATATGTGGTGATTGTTAAAGCCAATACTGCTAAAGGAAAGTGGGAGAACTCTCCTTCAATAAATAAGCAAATGACTAGAACCACCTCAAGAGATAAGAAAGTTCTAGATATGCACCTACCTGGAAGGACTTAGCTTCAGGGGATAGTTGGTCCTCTGAGATACATACCTACAGCTCCTTTAAAACTTTTCTAAAAGAGACAAATAAACTCAGAGATGTGTTTATTTTCACTTTAAGGAAGCAGGTCAGGGAATTGGAAAGATTAAGAATCCCAAAGACCAGAGTTTAGAATGGATCTTGCATGCAGTTGGAGGCAGCAGACACAATGGCTTGTGCAGTTTTTGGCTGCACATGATTGACATTTATTGATGCTTTTGGTTAATCCAAGCTTCCTAACTTGACTTTCCTTCAGCATCCCTTCCCACTTAAAGCTGCATATTTTGAGCCAAGGTATAGTCAAGGACCTACTGAGTATGAGAGATGACTCCTTAGAATTCTCTCTTGAATACAGATCTCAGAAATTTTACTCTTAGATTTTAATTAGGGCCTTTTGTCCTTCAAAAACAAACCATTTTGGACTCCAAGCTCCAAATGTGCAATATAGTTTAACTTCATGACCTATGAAACAGCCCTGAAGAGGAGATCGCAGCAACATCAAGTTCAGACATGCCCCTCAGTAGAATGGATCAAGAAAATGTGAGATATATATATATATACTGGAATTCTATGCTTCCATCAGAAAGAATGATACCACTCCATTTGTTAGGAAATGCAAAGATTTGGAAAAAGTCATATTAAGTGAAGTAAGCCACATCCAAAGAAATATAGGTCCCATGGTTTCCCTTATTTACAATAATTAGTATACATCTAGGACAGTCTTTCCAGATAAGCAGAAAAGCTCAAAAGCTATGTACATATGACCATGTAAGATGATGCTAAGCAAAATGAACCCCAAGATATGGACACAGGAGGCCTTTCTTTGTTGTTGTTGTTTTTAATGTACTATGTGATTTTTTTTTTTTGTTTCTTTTGTATGTTCTTCCCCCTATGGTATAGCCCTGTTGTCACTGTATTTGATTTTGGTACCTTGCATCTTGTGTGTACATTTATCTAATTTGGGGAGGAGAAGGAGAATAACAAAATGCTGAAACAAGGACACAGGATGACCCATTGCAACAATGAGAGTCGTAAGACACTATGTTGAAAATGAACTTTACAACTTCCATGGGGGGGGGGGGGAGTGAGTAAGGTGGGGAGGGAAGAGATAGTAGGAGAAAAACAAAGGAGGGGTAACAATGCTTGACAAGCAACGTAACCCCTCTGTACAGCATTTTACAATAAAATTAAATTTAAAAAATACTTTTAGGCTGGGAAGGTGGCTCAGTGCTAGAGCGCTTGCCTTGCATCCCAGAGGCCCTGGGTTCGATTCCTCAGCACCACATAAGCACAAAGAAAAAAGCCGGAAGTGGCGCTGTGGCTCAAGAGGTAGAGTGCTAGCCTCGAGCTGAAGAGCTGAGGGACAGCGCCCAGGCCCAGAGTTCAGGCCCCACAACAGGACCCCCCTCCCAAAAAAAAAATATTTTTAAAAATTGTGAAAAAAGGTCTGAATGAAAGAAGATGCAAAACTAGACAAGGTCAGCTTTTGTTACTTCTTTCTTCACAATAGGTTTAGTCGGCATAGAAATCATAGGTGAGATCATGCATGTGTTTCTAACGCATTTATAAGATTATCTCTTTGTTGCTTTGTATGTCCCTCCCCCACAGTATAACCCCCGCTTTCACTATATTTGATATCAGTATAACTTGTGGAGGAGATGGGGAAAAACCAGTTGTTTAAGGATACAGGTGGACCTGTTGCAACAATGAGAAGTACAAGTTCACATGTCCAAAACGAGCTTTACAACGTCGGTGCAGGGGGGGGGGGGGTAGGGAAGGGGGGGGAAGGAGAAGGAGAAGGATTGGGATTGGGGGGGGAGGGGGAGGCTGGGAAGGGATGTGAAGGGTAAACAAAGGAGGAGGCTGCAATGCTTGGTAAGAAATGTACGCATTATCCTGCCCATGTAATTGTAACCCCTCTGTACAGTATGTTCTCAAATAAAATTAAATTAAATTAAAAAAAAAATATTTGAAACTCAAAAAAAAAAAAAAAAAAAAGAAATCATAGGTGAGAAAGACAGCCACTCACACAAGATCACTTGACTGGGCAACAAAACAGACACGAGATCAGGTCGGGGGAAGGTTGGGTTTTTTTCAGTGGTGCCAGGACAACTGGCTCTACCTGAGAGAAGAGATATGTGACCCCTACCTAATACCAGATGCAAACCAACTTCAGGAATACTGTATACATAAAAGTCAATAGTAAGGCAATAGCATTCCTAAGATTTAATGTAGGACATTACCAACACTGTTTTACACCATAACCAATTCATTACACAAAAAATTGGGATTTTAAAGTTATGTAAAAGATTTATTGACTGTATAACATTAAAGTTAGGAGGGAGATACCCTCAGTATAGGAAAGTACACTATCAAGTATAAAGTCAGGCTAAACAAGACTATGTAAAGAACCTCCATGGTAAAATAAGAAAAAGACAGGCAATGCAGCAGGAAAAAAAATTAAGGCATGGTCAGAACTTCATGAAAGAAAACAGTAAGAATTCTATGACCATATGAAAGTTCAATGCATTAGTCTTCAGAGCAGTTTAAATTAAAGTCAAATGAGTTCATACAAAATAAATGTTTTTAAATTTTGACTAAAATCCCATTGTGAACATAAATGACTTGCTGGATGTAAAGTAATGACTATAATAAGTTGTATATGTTATTGTAACTTTAAAAAGGTATGGAACTATCTAGCAATGTAAGCCATACTCACAATTTTATAAATCACAGATTTAACTCCAAGAATGCATTGCACAGGGAGGCATATGGAACAAAAATTATTCATGAGTATAATTCACAGAAGCCTTAATGATGGAAAATGTCCATCAAGAAGAGACAGACATATTAATAAATTATGTTCTCATCATCTAAAGGCAAGAAAATATCCATTGAAATGGACAGGAAAGAAGCCTACGTGCAATAAATTCAGTAAAGTTCCTAAACATAATTTTGACCCAAGGATATCCAAAAATATATGCTATCTCATTTCATTTTGGATGGGTTTGAAAATCTGCAAAACTACAATATACACATCATTATAATAATTGCTTTGGGGAAGAAGAGAAAGAGTCATAAAGAAAAACATAAGAAAGCTACTAGAAGCCAGGCTCTGGTGGCTCATGCTTGTAATCCTAGCTACTCAGGAGGTTGAGACTGAGGATTGAGGTTTGAAGCCAGCACAAGCATGAAGGTCCATGAGACTCTTATTTCCAATAAACTACTCAGAAAAAGCTGGAAATGACGCTGTGGCTCAAGTGGTAGAGTGCTAGCCTTGAGCAAAAGAAGCTCATGGACAGTGCCCAGTCCCAGAGTTCAAGCTCAAGGACCAGCAAAAAGAAAAAAAAAAAGAAAGAAGAAAAAAAGGAAGAAGACCAAGATGAAAGAAGGAGGAAGAGGAGGAGGAGGAGGAGGAAAGCAAGCTACTAGGGTATAGGGATACTATTTCTTGACATGAGTGAAAATCTTCGCTCATAGTTGATTAAGATATAGATAGATAGGTTGATAGATGGATAGAGAGATGGATAAATATGAATGTCCTTCCCTCAACATATATTATGCTCCATTTCTTCAAAATTCTAAGGAATTGTCATGTCGTGTATGATTTCAGAAAAACTGTGTGTAGGTTGAGAGTGTTCCTTCTATACTTATCTATTTTGCTGGGGAACAGATTTAGGATTTAAAATGATGGATGCTTTCTGAACTACTATGTCTGACTTCTGCCTGTATCCCCAGGCTTTGATGCTAACTTGTATATGGAGAAAAGATTATGTCAGCCATTCCCTACCCATGTAGTTTTTGACAAAAGTCTCATAACATGTACAGTGTTTGCTGCAGAAAAAAACCTGTCTATTGTAGTCTTGAATAAGTAGATTTTTCTGGTAAACAGATGTGGACATGGTCATAGTTTCAGCTCTGTGAACATGTCAGCATCATAGACTTCTGCACAGACAGACACACCCAGTCCCATACAGCCAAAGGACCAATTTGAGGAAAGGGAAGTTGCTACAGAAAGCATCATATGATTAGATGAAGATCAGAGCAGGAACAAAGTTGATGATTTCTACAAATATTCCAATGAGTTATCCACAATTAAATGCTTAAAGCATGCATTTCAAATGATATCTAGTACCTAAGGAACAATTTCCTCCCCAGTCCATTTCCTTATAAGCCATGAAAAACAAAAAACAAGGAAAAGCCCTGCAGATTCCTCTCTCCACCTGACAGTATATATAACCCCTCAGAATCAAAGAAGCTCTCAGAATCTGGGAATCTCCTCTGGGAACAGAAGCCCATCCTCCACACCTGCTAACATGACCAACTGCTGCTCCCCTTGCTGCCAGCCCACCTGCTGCAGGACCACCTGCTGCAGAACCACCTGCTGGAGACCCACCTGTGTGACCAGCTGCTGTCAGCCCTGCTGCCAGCCCAGCTGCGGCAGCTCCAGCTGCTGCCAGCCCTGCTGCCAAACTACCTGCTGCACAACCCGCTTCAGACCCACCTGTGTGACCAGCTGCTGCAGCAGACCCTGCTGCCAGCCCTGCTGCTGTGTGTCTAGCTGCTGCCAGCCCTGCTGTCAGCCCAGCTGCTGTGAGTCTAGCTGCTGCCAGCCCTGCTCCCAGCCCAGCTGCTGTGAGGCTAGCTGCTGCCAGCCTTGCTGCCAGCCTCGCTGCTGTGAGTCTAGCTGCTGCCAGCCTTGCTGCCAGCCTTGCTGCTGTGAGCCTAGCTGCTGCCAGCCCTGCTGCCAGCCTCGCTGCTGTGAGTCTAGCTGCTGCCAGCCTTGCAGCCAGTCCAGCTGCTGCCAGCCAGTTTGCTCTGGACCTGTTTACTGCACAAGAACCTGCTACTACCCCACATGTGTCCGTGTGCCTGGTTGTCTGTCCCAGGGCTGTGGATCCAGCTGCTGCCAGCCCTGTAGCTGTTGATCAACTCATCACAGATCCACTACCTGCCTAGAATAACCTGCTACTCTCAGACCTGCCTGATACTCACACTGTGGGAAACTCACTGCCCTGTCTCTGCCTATCAGATACACACTGTCATCAAACTTCCAGTCATCTCCTTGTGAACAGATCTTTGAGCTTGCTCAGAGCATGTTCCTATCCACTCTTCATTCAACCTGGATTTGTTGGTTTTAGCCTTGGAAAAGTGATGATTGCCTTTTACAGGAAGATATAAAAAAAAAGAAGGAAAGCAGAAACTCAATAATCTAATTGTATCTTTGCAATTCCAAAAACCCGCCATGTTGTTTCCAAATACTCATCACTTTCCTGACTCCTCTTGTGGCTTTTACATGAAACCTTGTATTGTCTCCCTTGTTGAAAGATCACTGTCTCTTGACTTGCTAATAAAATCTTCACTACATTACCCCCTCAGTGATGGTTTGTTTGTTAATGTACTTGCTCTACATTTCACATTATTATCTCATCTAAGTCACATCATTGTCCCAAATTTAGTGCATTAGTCAGACTGTCTTTCATTGCTGTGGATAAAATACCTGTAAGACATCTTACAGGCAGAAGGATTTATTACGCTTATGGTTTCAGAGGGTCCATCCATGGTTGCTTAGACCCACAGACTTGGGAAGAATGTCCTGAGTTCAAGAGGATGTCTGGGTGCTCATGGTGGACAGGAAGCAGAGCAAAGATGGAACTTGAGCCAGACATAATCTTCATAGGCATGCAACTAATAGCCCATTTCTTCATCTCCCAAAGATTCTAGAACTTCTCCCACAAAAAATGTCACCAACTGGGATCCAAACATGGAACACATGAGCCTGTGAACCTGTGAAGACATTTCTTCTGCTTCTGCTTCTGCTTCTGCTCTTCTTCTGCTTCTGCTTCTGCTTCTGCTCTTCTTCTTCTTCTTCTTCCTCCTCCTCCTCCTCCTCCTCCTCCTCCTCCTCCTCCTCCTCCTCCTCCTCCTCCTTCTTCTTCTTCTTTTGTCTTGGGGCCTGAACTCTGAGCCTGGATGCTGTCCCTCAGCTCTTCAGCTCAAGGCTAGTGCTCTACCACTTGAGCCACAGCACCACTTCCAGCTTTTTCTGCTTATGTGGTGCTGAGGAATGAACCCAGGGCTCGTCCATGCAAGGCAAGCACTCTACCACTGAGCCACCTTCCCAGCCTAACATTTCCTATTCAAACCATAACATGTAAGCAAACCAATATGAGTTAAGTAACCTGCATCGTGCCATGTTGCGAATGATGAACAGAATCCACTCTAGAGCCCAGGATGTCTCATTCCAGCTCTGCCATAGTCATGGATATAGATTTTGTTTCTTGTTTTTTGTTTTTTGTTTGTGCCAGTCCTAGGGCTTGAACTCAGAGCCTGGGCACTCTCCCTGAGCTTCTTTTGCTCAAGGCTAGCACTCTACCACTTGAGCCACAGAAGCACTACCAGCTCTTTCTGTTGATGTAGTGCTGAGGAATCAAACCCAGGGCTCCGTGTATGCTAGGTAAGCACTCTACCAATAAGCCACATTCCCAGCCCTGTATATAGTTTTATATACTAAAAGGTTGGTGTCCAGTGGAAACTCCAATTCCTTATATTTTAAATTTAGTTTCCTTTAACTAGACTCTTCTCAATTCATTTCTGAAAGGTCGGTAACCAATAACCACATAAATAAGAGCATTCATGCTTTTTCTTAAGAGCACTGGTGAATGGTGTGAAAATTTTATTGTCTGTTGCCTGCCAGCCAATGGTAAACTCTATTAAATTCTTTTTGATCATTTATTGTTGTTTCTGCCACTGTCTGAAACTTTGATGAGAGAGGTTCATCAGAAAGAGTTTCTTGATGTTATGTAAATAGCATTACTCATGTCAACATTGTTTTAGTCACCTATACAAATAGCCAGCAGTGAGTAAGTCATGTTCTGTGAAACACAGGCCAAATTTCATTTGAACTGAGAGTTGGGGAGATAATTGCTTTCGGTCAAAATATTATTAAGGAAATAAAGTCATGGCAAATACTGGGATTCACAGTAACAGTGCAACAGGCCTTACAGCCTTTGATCCTTCCATTATCTTTGGGATTTCCTTGAAGATCAAAGTAGCTCTGGAGTTTGGGGAAAGAAAGAACAGCCTTCTGAGATATATGAAAGCCAAAGAACAAGTATTTGAGGCAAGAGACTGAGAAGTAGGCACCACTAAGACCCGTGGTTGACAAAGGTGTAGTGCTAAAAGAGTTCACTAGATTTCCTATAAAAGAAAATAACAATTGTAGATGTTATAGCTGATATTGCTAAATGAAAAGGAAAAACACAAGAATAAACAATAAATCAATCACTAGGGCCACCACCTGTGAGATCACTATTTTAGCAGCAAGTTTGGTATGTAGACAAGTGAGAAAAATGTTGGATTTTCCAATGGTTCTGGGACAATTATATATCTCCCTAAAGCAGAAAGGAAAATCAACCCCTATTTCAGATACAAACCAACCCCAAGAATACTACATATATAAAAGTAAATGGTAGAGCAATAGCATTTCTAAGATTTAATATAGGGTACTAACCAATGTCATTGGGTAATAATCAATTCATTATAGAAGAAGCAGGAAGCATTATAAGTACCATGGAAGCCTGATTGGCTATATAACAATAAAATGAAAAGGGAGGGTCAAGGCAAGAACTGGTGGCATGACTCAAGTGGCAGAGCACTAGCCAGGAGTGAAAAAGCCAAGTAACAACACAATGCCTTAAATTCAGTACTGACATACACACACACACACACACACACACACACACACACACACACACACACACACACATACACACACACACAAGCCATGGTCACAGAATAAGAAAGGATATTGATTGAGCAAAATATGAGTAAAAGCAGGATCCAGAATAAAGAACATCAATGAAGGAATAAGAGAAAGATGATATAGCGTTATAAATTTAAGACATGATCTACACCTCATGAAAGCAAATGCCAATGTCCACTAAGCTTATGGAAGTTCAATACATTCACCTTCACAGAAATGAGACAGCATAAAATCGATGGTCTGACAATCAACTTTCCAGTACTAAAACAAAATGCCTAAGACAAACTCAAAGGAGAATATGTTTATTTTCAGGTTCTAGATGCTTCAATGCACGGTCACTTTGGGGTCTCTGATGAAGCAATATGTCATAATAGAAACAAGGGTCAAGGAAGAGCCACTCACCTTCTGATGGCCAGGAATCAATGAGAAAGAAAGGAAAAGAATCCCAAGACTCTAGAGCCTAACCAGGAAGTAAGAAAAGACTAATTCCTCCAAATAGGCCCCTCCCTTAATCTTGCCAGCACCTCCCAATAGGCTGACAGGTAGGAACAAGCTTTCAACACATGAGCTTTGGGTGAACACTTAAGATATAAACCCTAACAAATGCACAACCAAAATAGTTACAAGTTCCAGAATGAAAAAATATCAGACATATAGCAAGGAGGTAGAAGTGGAGGTATGGTTCAAGTGGTAGAGCTCTAGCCATGAGTGTGAAAAGCCAAGAAAGAGTGCCAGGCCCTGAGTTTAAGCCCCACTATTACACACACACACACACACACACACACACACACACACACACGTGTGCACACACATACAGACACAAATTATAAGGCAAAGAAGATAATAAGTGCTACGCATTATTGCAATTTTTTTGAAAAAGAAATGTTGGGACTATTTTCTAATATCAGTCATATGTATAGTTTAGAATCCAGAAGTTTCCGCACGAGAATCCACAGAAACGCATGCTCCTGTGGGACAGGATTTGACCAACATATTCATAGAATCATGATTCCCAAAGGTCTGAATGATGACAAAATGTCCATTAACAAGAGAAAGCATTCAAATTGTAGTCTTCACATGCAACAATATGAAAATATCCATACCAAATCATCAAATGACTACTGCATAGGAAAAAAAAGTCTAAATCTCAACAAAGAAAATTTTGAGGAAAATAAAATACGCCCCCAAAGAGTTCCTTAATTTCAATTTGGATAAAGTTCAAAAATTGGAGATTTTATTCTAGTTAACATACTCACTGACTTAGGAATGAGGAGAAAGATAATAGTAAGGAAAAACAGGAAGAAAGTGACTAGGGTGTGGGGGTAATATCCTCTGACATGATTTGCAAACATTATTTCTTTACTTACATTTTAAGATTTATATTAAAATGGATTCTCTTCTTTGTCTCTCTGTTTCTATCGCTCTGCCTGTCTCTGTCTCTGTCTTTCTATGTCTGTTTCTCTATTTTCCTCTTCCCTTTCCTCTTCCTCCTCTTTCTGTTCTTTCTCTTTTCCTTTCAGTACTTGAAGTCAGAGTCTTATGCTTGCTAGGCAGGCACCATACCACTTCAGTCAAGACCCCAGGCTACCATTCTCTCAAAGTGTATTATATATCAATTTCTTTGAAAATGAGAGTACTTAATGTACAAAATGGGTACTTAATGAGGGTACACAATATACATATGCCATGTAAAACATGGCATATGATCTCTTCATTTATATCAAAACCATGTACAAATGTGAATGTCCAACCTAGGAGGACCTACCTGGCTGGTAAATGGGCTTATGGTCTACATTGATGGATGCATTCAGAATCTCTGTGTTTTGTTTTTGCCTCTGTGCTCAGGCTTTGGTGCTGATGTATGTATGAAGATTGGGTTGCCCATAGTCTACCCTAGGTATTCTTTGATATATACTTGTGACAGAGAGACATGAATGTTATAGTTGACTCAGCTGGCTCTTTTGGTGAATGGACTTGGCCACGAGGATGATTCAAGTTGTCACTGTGAACATACCAACATCACAGTCCACCCTGCAGACACCCTACAGTCTCTGAAAGTACAAGCCAATGAAGAACAGATCGTATCCTATTCCCAGCTTGCAGGAAGTATCAAATGACAGGCTCCTATCAGAGCAGGAACATGGTTGATCATTTCTAGAAATATTCAAACGAATTATCTACAATTAACTACTTAAAGCATAATTTTCAAAATATTTCTAATGCTTAGAGAAGAACTTCCTTCTCAGGCCATTTCCCCTATGAACCACACAAAACAAACAACAAGGAAAAGCCCTGCTCATTGGTCCTTACATGGCATGCCCAGAGTATAAAAGCCCCAGGATGGAAGAACTTCTCAGAATCCAGAAACTAAACTGTAAACAGGAATTTATCCTCCACACCTGCCACCATGACCAACTGCTGCTCCCCTTGCTGCCAGCCCACCTGCTGCAGGACCACCTGCTGCAGGACCACCTGCTGGAGACCCACCTGTGTGACCAGCTGCTGCCAGCCCTGCTGCCAGCCCAGCTGCGGCAGCTCCAGCTGCTGCCAGCCCTGCTGCCAAACTACCTGCTGCACAACCCGCTTCAGACCCACCTGTGTGACCAGCTGCTGCAGCAGACCCTGCTGCCAGCCCTGCTGCTGTGTGTCTAGCTGCTGCCAGCCCTGCTGTCAGCCCAGCTGCTGTGAGTCTAGCTGCTGCCAGCCCTGCTGCCAGCCCAGCTGCAGTGAGTCTAGCTGCTGCCAGCCTTGCTGCCAGCCTCGCTGCTGTGAGTCTAGCTGCTGCCAGCCTTGCGGCCAGTCCAGCTGCTGCCAGCCAGTTTGCTCAGGACCTGTTTACTGCACAAGAACCTGCTACTACCCCACATGTGTCCGTGTGCCTGGTTGTCTATCCCAGGGCTGTGGATCCAGCTGCTGCCAGCCCTGTAGCTGTTGATCAACTCATCACAGATCCACTACCTGCCTAGAATAACCGTCTACTCTCAGACCTGCCTGATAACCAAACTGTGAGAAGCCCACTGCCCTGTCTCTGCCTATCAGATACACACTGTCATCAAACTTCCAGTCATCTCCTTGGGAACAGATCTTCGAGCTTGCTCAGAGCATGTTCCTATCCACTTTTATAGTCTCTTCATTCTGCTCCCTAGCTGTCAGCATCATCTGTTCTTGACCTGCCTCGTGGTCTTGGCCTTGAAAAAGGGATGTTGCCTTTTATAGTAAGAAGTTAAAAAAAGAAACAGAAAGGCATGCCCAGACATATCTTATTAGGTCTTGCAATGGTAAATAACTATTGTTTGTTTCAATATACTGTACATCTTTGTGACTTGTTTTCTCTCTCTTAAAATATCCTTGTACTTCTCCCTTCGCTAAAAGGGCACTGCCTATTTCTTTCCTAATAAAGTTTTCACTACATTGCTTCCTATGTGTGTTCTATGTCATTTCCATGGCTTTGGTTTTGCATTTGAGATTGTTATCCATATAACATCAGAAACTTTCACAGAACCATCATGATGCAGTGGTCTGCATCATACCATGGAGTAATAGACAGAATCGAGTCCAGGATCTGGGCTTTCTGGTTCAAGCTCAGGTACAGCTTCCACAATAAGTAGAAATGATGCTGGTGACTTGTTATGGGGAAACTAATGTGCTTCAGGTTGCCCTTTGGCAACGGAATCTGAAATTTCTTACATTTTTCAAAACATTTTCTACTTTCAAAACTCTTCCCCATCCATGGTACCCTAGCAACAAGAAGCAGTATAATAAGAGCAACAGTGACTTTTTTTAGAACTCTAGTAAAGATCAGGAATAGTAGTTCACACCTGTAATCCCAGTTACTGGGCAATCAGAGACCAAGAGGATGGTGGCTGAAGGCAGCCCATACATTGAGACCCCCCATCTCAGCAAACAAGCCAGTTGTAGTGGCATGCACACATTGTCCAACTACAAAGGAAGCATAGATAGGAGGATCTTATCTGTGTCTGGTCCTAAACAAAAGTAAATATGAGACTCTATTCAAAAACTAATACAAAAAAGGTATGAGTGTGGCTCAAGTAATAAGAGTATCACATAAAGCCCTGAGTTCAAATACCAGTACATACCACTAAAAAAGGACCCTCATCAGTGTTGTGAAGTTCTTTCTGTCTGAGTCTCTACCCAGCCAAGGGTAAATGCTTGAAATATTTTGATCATCCATTGTGTTCTCACCATTCTTCCAGGACTGTGATCTGAGAGAAACATCTAGAAAGGCTTCTGATCACCTAAACAAATAGCCATGAAGGAGTTGCCATGCCCCATGAAACACAGACCAAATTTCATTTGCACCCGGACTTGGAGGGATTATTTGTTCCTAGATCGAGATATTACTAGGGAAATTAAGTAATGACAAATCCTGGGGATCGCAGTAACAATTCAGAGTGCTTACCAGTCTTTGATCCTTCTGTAAACTCTAGACTGAAAAGATGGAAATAACTCCCTAAATTTTTGAGAAGGAACCAGTGGACTTAAGGAAATGAAAGTCTAGGATTCTGGAGTTATAAAAATGTGAGGAAAGAAACATGGTGAAAGGAATGTGTACTGCCAAGAGCCATGATTGGATGAATGTAGTCTAAAGGATAGAACACCAGAACTATAGGGAAAGGAACAAGTAACAACATAGAACTCAAGTGTTTGGTGATGAGATGGCTGATACTCCTACAGGAGAGGGGGAAAAAAAGGAAGAGACAACTAGGGACCCCATCTGAGAGACACAGTTTCTTCCACATATCTAACTTGACTTTGGTTCAGGAAATATATGGTCTTCTCAAATGCATAGCCTAAAAAGTTCCTTGCAGACATTTTCCAACAGTTTAATTATAACTGATCTGCATAGGGAGACAAAATGTAATCCACAAGGGTGGTTTGTTGGTTGGTTGGTATGTTGTTTCTGTTGCAGAAAGTAGAACAGGAAGCTCAAAGGACTGGGTACTGAATGGCATCTGCTTCAAACATTTTGAAAAAATATCAATCTCACATAGGAATGGAAAACTTCTGTGGAGAAGAAACTCAGGTATTGATCAAATGGAAGGCAGAAAAAACAATAATTTGTATGTTGTTGCAATTAGTTTTGAAAAAAAAAGTTTGGATCTACTAATGTGCCTAATTTAGAACACGGAACTTAGGAATCTCATTTCCAAGAATATATTCGCAGGAATGCATGCACTCATTGGCCAAAGTGAGAGCAAAAATATTCATAAGATCATGATTCACCAAAACGCTAATGATGGAAAAATCTCCATCAGGAGAAGCATAACTAAGTTGTTTTCCTGTTATACAAAGAGAAGAGAAGATAATTGGAAATGAACAAATACCTCCTATGCAAAGTGGGTAAATTTGACAAATATTTTGTGTGCCAGTACTGGGGCTTGAATGCAGGGCCTAGGTGCTGTTCCTGAGCTTTTTTTGCTCAAGGCTAGTACTTCTATCACTTGAGCCACAGCATCACTTCCAGGTTTTTGGTGGTTAATAGGAGATTAAAAAAAAGTCTCACAGACGGGCTGGGAAGGTGGCTTAGTGGTAGAGCGCTTGCCTTGCATGCCTGAGGCCCTGGGTTCGATTCCCCAGCACCACATAAGCAAAAAGAAAAAAAGCCAAAAGTGGCACTGTGGCTCAAGTGGTAGAGCGCTAGCCTTGAGCTGAAGAGCTGAGGGACAGCACCCAGGCCCAGAGTTCAGGCCCCATGACCGGACCCAAAAAAAAAAAATCTCACAGACTGTCCTGCCCAGGCAGGCTTTGAAGTGAGATTCTCGGATCTCAGCTTCCTGAGTTGCTAGGATTACAGGCACAAGCCACTAATGCCTGGCAGTACAAACTTAATTTTTATCAGAGGATACCAAGTTTTTAACAAATGTATAGACTATGTAATTTCAATTCAGATAAAGTTCAAAAATGGGCACAACTGTGATATTAGACAAAAAAGGAAAATAGTTGCTACAGGAAAGAGAGGGATAAGGAAAAACATGAGGTCCTGGCATGACTTCTGAGCACACTGGGCTCTTTGTCAAATTTGATCAAGCTATACATACAAATGTATGGTCTTGTCCCACAGCACACTATGCTTTGATTTCCTTGAAAATGATAAAAACGGACGAGGTCATCATGTGGAATATGGAAGCAGCAGGCAGGTAGGGATATCCTGCTGATCAACTCCATGAGAAATCTAAATGCTGTTTGAAACCCTGCATCTTCCTTTAGCCTCTCTCCTCAGCCCTTGGTGCTGAGGTATATATGGAAAAAGATGGCAAAAACAAGTATAACATGGGTAAGGTTTGCTCAATCCGACGTACTTATTGTACTTATTGTAGTCTTGAATAAATTGGCTTTTGGTAGAACCCATCTGGACACAGACAGGGATTCAAGTTGTCCCTGTGAACACATGGGCATCAAAGATACTTCCCAGTCTCTCCACAGGGGCACTGGGGCCAAAGCAAACAAAGGAAGGAGAAGTTGAAGCTCCTCCCATAGCCACAGAAACTGTCACATGACCCCAGATGATGACTACAATAGGAAGCATGATGCAGGTGACTTCTAGAAATGCTCTCCATGAATTATCCGCTATTAATTGCCTAATGGGTGATTTTCAAAAGATTTGTAATACTTGGGGGCAAACTTCCTCCTTCAGCCATTTCCCCATGAGCCTACAGAAAACAAACAACAACAAAGAAAAGTCCTGCTCATTCATTGGTCCCCACACCAGTGCCAGGGGTATAAAAGCCCCAGAATCAAAGAAGCTCTCAGAATCTGGGAATCTCCTCTGGGAACAGAAGCCCATCCTCTACACCTGCTAACATGACCAACTGCTGCTCCCCTTGCTGCCAGCCCACCTGCTGCAGGACCACCTGCTGCAGAACCACCTGCTGGAGACCCACCTGTGTGACCAGCTGCTGCCAGCCCTGCTGTCAGCCCAGCTGTGGCAGCTCCAGCTGTTGCCAGCCCTGCTGCCAAACTACCTGCTGCACAACCCGCTTCAGACCCACCTGTGTGACCAGCTGCTGCAGCAGACCCTGCTGCCAGCCCTGCTGCTGTGTGTCTAGCTGCTGCCAGCCCTGCTGCCAGCCAGGCTGCTGTGAGTCTAGCTGCTGCCAGCCCTGCTGCCAGCCCTGCTGCCAGCCTCGCTGCTGTGAGTCTAGCTGCTGCCAGCCTTGCGGCCAGTCCAGCTGCTGCCAGCCAGTTTGCTCTGGACCTGTGTACTGCACAAGAACCTGCTACTACCCCACATGTGTCCGTGTGCCTGGTTGTCTGTCCCAGGGCTGCGGATCCAGCTGTTTCTAATCTTGCTGCAGTTGACCCTCATCCCTGTCTCACATTGCAACTTTCCATCTACCAACCCAAGCCTGGCAATAATATGACTGCCAGGCTTTGCTATCATCAACCATCCACTGGTTGTTTTCTTGCCAAGGGCAGGTCTTGTTGATAGGGGAAAAATTTACTCCATTGGCTGTTCATCTCTTTACCTGCTAATCCGTGTTCTTGTTCTCAGTCTACTTTATCTGCTTTTGATCTTGAGTCACATTCTCAGATGTTGAAAAGTAATCTATGTCTTTTTGCTCTAAACAACCTAAAAAATAAGCAGACAAATATAGCCCCTTTCCTGACTCTTCTTAGTGATGAGTATTTCCTCACTACACTTTTATCCTTATGGCTTATTCTTCTCCCTGCTATGCTTACTTTACAAAATTCTCTTCTTGGTGACAAGGAACTTGTCTAATTAATTTGCATTTATTTCCTAATAAATCTCTACACCTTATCATGTTTCTGGGTTTTGTTTTTTGTTTCTATAGTACGTTGTACCTAAGGCTTTACATTCACTGTTTCCTGCTTCTAGTATTCCTTTGTAGCCCCACAATTATCCAAAAAGATGTTCAAGGCCAAGAATATCTTTGGTAGTCAGTAGGTGACAAAATGTCCTTGTCCAATGTCATTGGGCCCAGCACCTTAGGCTTCTTATTTTACCTGACAGGTACTCTAATATATCTACTTCTCTCCAAGCAGAACTGACTGGCCCTGGGCAGGTTTCACTCTTTATCTAGCTTAGCCTTTCCCTTGCAAAGGAAATCAACACTTTCCTTTGCAAGGTAGTTTTGTGTGTAAAGGTAGATGAAACACATACATACACGCACACATACACATACACACACACACGTACGTTACTAGACACCATCAAAACCTACAATGAACATGAGGGAAACATGGGCAGACCTTCTCAAAACCTCAGCATTAATGCTTTATGTAGGCCATGTCTGCCTCTAAAAGGAAAATGAGGTCTAAGTGCGGGTAATCATCCTTTTGCAAGCTATCAGAAGTAGAAACATAGACTCTTCTTGGCTTCTGAAGAGCTTCTCCTAACTGGCATGCTCAACACTTACCACATCTAGAGTTCCATGGCAGACAACCTCTTTATTGGTTTAAGGTATTTAAGGAAACCTCTGACTAATTATTAGCTAACCTAGTTGATATTTCAGTAGTCTAAATGTGTTTAAAAAAACTGATATATTTATCAGAATTAGCTGAGAAAAGCCAAAGAGTAATGATAAATCCTACAGAAGAATCTTAATTCCAGATTGTATCATACTATATTATTTTAAATGCCTAGCTTTCAATTAAAAAAAAACATAAAAAATAAAAAGCATAAAAAACGCACAAGAGAACAATTACGTTTTTCAACCAATAGGGGTTGTATACATATGAATCTTGATTCTTTTATGGAACTTTTCACCTCGGGGGAGAAGGAAATTAAACCATATAAAATCAATCAAAGTTGTATTTTAGGTGTAATTACAAAAAGGTAAAATAATAAATCTTATAGAAGAAAATAAACAACATCTTCATGATATTAGGTTGCTAAATGTCTTACAGTAAGTCTGTATAAAATTATTATATAAAGCGGGGCACCAGTGGCTCACACCTATAATCCTAAGGAGGTTGAGATCTGTGGATGGTGGTTCAAAGCCAGCTCAGGCAGTAAAGTCCATGAGACTCTTCTCTCCAATAAACTACTCAGAAAAAGAATTGGCACTGTGGCTCAAATTAGCCTTGAGCACAGAGAGGCTCAGGGACAGAGCCCAGGCCCTGAGTTCAAGTCATATTTTCAATATTATATCGAAATATTGAATATATATGTGTATATATATTCAATATATGTATATAGATGAAAATATATATGTATATATATAATATTGAAAATGTGAATCTCTTCTTGCTGTAAGATAACCATTAAGAGAGTGAAGACATGTAACACAAAATGGTAAAAATAAAAATGTGTGTAAAGATATATAAAGGTTTCTATCACCCATCCCTGGAACTTATTGGCATAGGCAGTAACTTCTTGCATAGAATGTCAACAGCTCGGCAAATAAGAGCAAGTAATGATAGATGTGATTGCATCAAAACTAAAAAGCATCTGCACAGCAGAGAAAATATTCACTAAAGAGATAGCCTCAGAATGGGAGAGAATCCTTGTCAGCTATTCATCTGATAAGAGATTAATCACCACAACATCTAGAAAGCTCAACAAACTATACTACCAACTACCCAACTAATAAATGGACAAATAAACTGAAAAGACAATTCTTGAAAGAAGAAATTTGAATGAACAATAAATACCTAAGTCCTCAATATCCCTGATCATAAAGGAAACACAAAACAAAGAGATACTGAGAGTTCATTTCACTCCAGTCAGAATGACCAAGGTTAAGAACACAAGCATGCAGGTTAGGGTGTGGGGGAAAGGAACACATATATACTTGGTTGAAACTGCAACCTGTCTGTCTGATTGGTATGTGGTATGAAAGCACATAAAAACCCTGTTGCTTTTGTTACTATAAGTTCATAATATAATTTGAAGTCTAACATTGTGTTATCTCCACATTACTTGAGGGTTGTTTTTTTTGGGGGGAGGGGGCCACTCAGGTCTCCTGTGCTTGCATGTAAGTTTAAGAATTAATTTTTCCAAAAATCATATTAAGTGAAGTTACCCAGTCCCAAAGAAATTTAGGTCCCATCCTTTCCCTTACTTGCAATAATTAGTATACATATAGGATAATCTTATCAGATGAGCTGAAAAGCTCAAAAACCATGTACAAATGACCATATAAGATGATGCTAAGTGAAATGAACCCCAAGATATGGACACAAGAGGTTGTCTTTATTGTTATTGTTTTAAATGGACCATGTGATTTTATTTGTTGTTGTTGTTTCCTTTGTATGTTCTTTCCCATATAGCATATCCCCTGTTATCACTGTACTCGATTTTGATACCCTGCATCTTGTATATACATATGTCTAATCTGGGGAGGGGAAGAGGAATAACAAAACGCTGAAACAAGGACACCGGATGACCCATTGCAACAATGAGACACACAGGACAGTGTATTGGAAATGAACTTCACACCTTCGGGTGGCGAGGGGGGTGGGGGGGAGTAGGAGTGTGGGAGAGAGGGGAGGGAAGGGATAGTGGGACAACAACAAGGAAGGGAAGAGGTAACAATGATCGACAAGTAATGTACTCATTGCCTTACTCATGTAACTGTAACCCCTCTCTACAACAACTTAACAATAAAATTAACATTGAGAAAAAAAGAATTAATTTTTCTATTTCTGTGTACAATGACATTGGCGTCTCGATGGGGATTGCATTCAATTGATTGATTGCTTTTGGTGGCACGGCCACTTTCATGATATTAATTCTACCAATCTGTGAGCATGGGAAGTCTTTCCACGTTCTGGTGTCTTGCTTCGTTTTTTATCATAGAGGGCTTTCACCTGCTTGATTAAGCTAATTCCTGGGTATTTTTTTGGGAGACTGCGGTGGGTGGAGTTGTTCTCCTGATTGCTTGTTCAGCCTGTGTGTTGTTGGTATCCAGAAGATCTGGGGTATGGGTACTAGTGGGACTGGGTAGGGTGAATGGAGAGGCTGAATCTTGGGTGAGTACAGTCAATATACTTTACGAACATATATGAAATGGAATAATGGAGCCTGCTGCGATTGTTTTGGGAAAGAGTGGTAAAGGAAAGTGAGGAGCATGAGTTCAAGCAAGCCACACTGTATGCCTACATGGGCATACCAAAATGAAACCTCCTTGCACAATGAACTGATGCCAATAAAAAAATTGGAAAAAATTATACTAATGGTTTTCATGTATGACATTTTCTTTACTTAAATTCTATTGTAAAGGTGATTGACATTTTTTTCATATCTGTATATACTGTGCTATGTTCACCTTTATCCCTCTCCAGCTCTTCATTTCCTGGAAGATTTTAGAGCAATAAAAATAAGTGAAGTACTATTAAAATATCCAGGAAAAAATAGCCAAATTTGTATTATTTCATTCATTATAATGTGACTTAATCATATTGACCTACAATTTTAGAAATCAATAGACAGGTTGTCTACCCGTGGATATGAAAGAGGCGTTTAATTTAAAGGAAAAGGAATTATGTTCTATTTCTTAAGTGATTATAGTGATATGGGTGTATTAAATTTTGTGATAATTTATTAAGTTGGGAACTCATAATTGGAACACTGTAGGAATGAAGTTTTTAACAAAAAAGTTGGAGAGGTATTGGAGAGATACTAGCACTGACAGATAATTCAGCCACTGAAGTCCCTAATCTAGTTCTTTTATTATCAAGAAAACCACAAAAGAAAGAAAATAAGAATTATGCAACCAGCCACCCCAGATTACCAGCTCTGTTAAGTGACAGGGTTATTAGAATCATCAGCATGTCTGGTATTTCAAGAAGTTCCCCAGTTAGATCCAATTATGCCCACTATAAATAGAAAATGCCTCATTCTTGGACAAAGACTATTGGTCACCTAAGATGTAAATAAGTTAGTGTTTACTTTTCTGTCTTTTTTTGAACTCGGCACATAGATCTTTTAAAAATACTTTTTATCTTTTAAGTAGTCATTCAGAGGAGTTGCCATTCAACCAAACGGTTTGTGAATGCAATGTGTCTTGATCAATGTCACCCCTTCAACATGCCCACCCACCCTTCCCAACCCACCCCTTCCCTCACATTTCTCTTTCTAATATACTATTATTGTCTTTAAGTAGTTGTTCAAAGGAATTGCCATTAGGCAGAGCAGTTTATGAATATACCCCTTTTAACATTCTCACCCACCCCACCTCTTCCCTCACTTTTCTTAATTTTTAGGTGTTTATTGGGCATTTTGGCACTTAAAGCGATTTATGTACACAATGCATCTTGAACTGTGTCATCCCTGGAAAGGTTGGGTTGAAGGGGGATAGAAATGAGTATTTTCTAAGTCCCAGTATAATCCTTCTGCTTCTACCCACCTGCTATGTTTTTGCTGTATAACTAAGAACTCATTTTACCAAATAACCTGTTTCCATTGTACCTGACACACAAGTGGGGTTGCTGATACAGAATAGATACTTGTACTGGTCTGGACTCATGTTTTTGTAGCCACACAGACATGGAATCAGACATTCAGTACAGCCCTGTGAGCATAACGTAATCAAACTCCCCTCTTCCCCCTACCAACCCAAACCAGAGATAATCTAAGAACAACCAGTAGAACAAAGCCACAGAGGAACCAGTACCTAGAGACTCCCGGGCCAGCAGAAGCTAACACATGATCAGATGATGATCACTGCAAGAAAGATGCTGATGACCTGACTCCTTCCTTTTATCTGAAAAAGGCCTCTATGAGTTGCCTCTAATTAAGAAAAGATTAAACACACTCAAAAGACTCATGACATTTAAGAGGGGGGTGGAAACTTCCTCCATGTCAATTCCTAAACGGAATACAGAAAAACAACATAAACAAGCAACAAGGAAAATGTTTACTGATTGGTCCAAATTCTGGAGGCCAGGTATATAAAAGGTCCAGATCAGAGAAGAAAGAAAAAAAAAGGCACCACACTCCAGAATACTAACTGTGAAAGGAACCACTACCCACACCTGCCACCATGACCCATTCCTGCTTTTCCTCTTGCTGCCAGCCCAACTGCTGCCAGTCTACCTGCTGGAGACCAACCTGTATGGCCAGTTGCTGCTGCCAGCCATGCTGCCAGCCCAGCTGCTGCCAGCCATGTTGCCAGCCCAGCTGTTGTGAGTCCAGCTGCTGCCAGATCTGCTGCCAGCCAGCTTGCTCTGGGCCTGTGTACTGCACCAGAACCTGCTACCACCCCACATGCGTCCGTGTGCCTGGTTGCCTGTCCCAGGGCTGCGGATCCAGCAGCTGCCAGTCTTGCTGCTGCTGATTAACTCCCCAAAGGCCATCATCATCTTCACACAACCATCTACCAACAGATTTGCTTCAGTAGGAAAAAATTCATTCCCAAAGCCAGCATGCTGTTACTGAAAGTTCTATTGTCCAACTGCTGGCTTCAACCTTTAGGAAGCAGCGTGTACAGAGTACCTCATCCTGATTTTTTTTTCCTTCCCTATGTCCTAGGGATTTAGAAGCATCTTCTCATATGCTCAGTTGGGAGTTAGGGTATCTTCTTTGAATCAGAGCCAATGCCTTCACACTTTTCTGTCCAAGTAACTTAGGAAAACAAAGTCTCCCAGCTTTCTCCTAGATTTCTGCAATGGATCAATCGTCTTTATAATCATGTTTTCCTTTTCAGTGTACTCACGTTTTCCTGTATCGTGCCTTTTACTTTTCATAATCACTAAGAGTTATCTTCTTAGCAACAGGGATTCTTAGCTAAACTCAAAAAATAAATTCTGAACCCACTTTTAATACTATTTTTGTTTCCTTATATGGCACAGCATTCTTTTTCTCTAGGATTTAATATTTTTAGAAAGAGAAAATATAAAATTATCAAAAAAAATGTAAAGGTTTGTTTAGGATCTGAATAGTGCAGGGGCGGGAGAGGTTCAAAACTTTTTTCCTGTAACTGATTTAAGGTAAAAAATTAAAAATAATATCAAAATCATAGCAGCTATAACTGTCCAAGTAAAAGCCCACCTACAAAAAGGCAGGATAAAATCTGATTGAGAAAACATACACATCACAACTTGGTAACAAATTTCAAATGGTTTCATTTCCCACAGTCCAAAATGAAGATCATCTTGGATGCTTAGATTCTACGTCTTCAAGAATCCAGTCAATGCCAGTCAAAAAACCAGTAAGAGTTTCAGCCTCTATATCTGCACAGCATTCTTAACGTAGATTCCCAAACATGCTGCATACTGAGTTAGTCGGCTTCTGACATAGGTTCAGGGGCTTGGCAGTATAAATCAGCTCTGCCATGTTTATTCTATATCAGCTAAGAAGTGGACACAGAGGAAGTGTCCAATAACAATAGAGTCCCTTCAAAAACACTCTCGGGAACTCTCTTCCTTCAACTAGGATTTACCTTCTAGTCGTTCTTCAGCATGAACTTGCCAGTGGCTGAGTCCACTGGTGAAGTTGAGCGTGGGTATGCTTTCGTCTAAGAAGCATACAAAATATAATTGAAGATGTAGGCAGAACCAACCATTTTCTGAATAGACCTCCAGTAGCTTGGGAATTAAGAGCATGAGTTGACTAGGATTACAGCAGAGTAAAAGATTTCCATATGTCAAAAGGAAGTATCTACCAGAATGAAGTGACAGCTTAAAGAATTGGGCAGGGGGAATTGTGTGCTACTATTCAGCACACAGAAGATGAATCTCCAGAATATATACTGAGTTCAAAAATTAAGAACCAGTAGAACACCGGGCACCAGTGGTTCATGCCTGTAATCCTAGCTACTCACGAGGCTGAGATCTGAGGATCACAGTTCAAAGCCAGTCTGGGCAGGAAAGTACATGAAACTCTTATCTTGAATAAACTACTAGAAAAACCGGAAGTGGTGCTGTGGCTCAAGTGGTAGAGCACTCGGCTTGAGCTGAAGAGCTAAGGAACAGCGCCCAGGCCCAGAGTTCAAGAACCACGACCAACAACAACAAAAGAACCAGTAAAACAAACAATCCAATTAGCAAATGACAAACAAATTGAGCAGTTTAAAAAAAAAAAAAAAAAAAAAAAAAAAAGGAGAACTGATTGAGCAAGTGGCAAATGAAAAAAAAAAAACAGTTTTCAAACACTTTTCCATATCTGATGAGAAATCCTTAGCCATAAAGGGAATGTAAGCCAAAAATCACAATGAGGTTTCATCTCACTCCAATTAGAGTGGCAATAATCAAGAAAACAAACAAGACACAAATGGGATGCAGAGATAGAAAAACAAGGAAAGGAGAAATACTATCAGTAGGAATGTAAATTAGTATAGCCATGATGGAAATCATTATGACAGTCCCTCAAAAGTTCTACAAATAGAAGTACCAAATGATCCTGCTGATGTCATTCCTTCATACTTTCCATCCCTAGGAAATGTACCCAAACAAATGTGTAACAGCATATAATAGTATACGTGTTTCCAGCAACAATATTCAAAATAGACAAGCTATAGAAGCAGGCTAAGAGATGGTGGTTCAAGTCCAGGCCAGGGAAAAACTTCATGAGACCTCCATCTCAACATATACGTATGTAGCTCAAGGCTATGATCCTAGATACACATGGAAGCATAAATAAGGAGATTATTGTTCAGGATAGCTCAGGGCAGAAATAAGAGATAGGATTTGAGTGGCAGAGCACCTATCTAGCAAGCATGAGACCCTGAGTTCAATCCCTAGTAGTGTGTGTGCACACTCATGCTTGTGTGCTCGCACACACACACACACACACACACACACACACACAGAAAGACCTCCCTGACATTTTCATTTGATTCCTTCATGACATAACATTTTAAAGCCAATTATGGTATTACCTGTCATCCAAGTATAATTATATTTTATTAGTATATTTAATGGCATAAAATAATGGGTTTCATTGGCATTTCATACACCCATATAACATATTTTAACCATGTTCAACATCCCCAATACCTCTTACTTCTTCATCCACCTCCTATGTCCACCATTCCCTTCCTGTCCTTTTGATAAATACTCTACCTTCTACATTCATATTCTTTCTTACGTAAATTCCACATAGGAGTACAAATAGATACTATTCGTCTTTCTTTCTGAGTCTGGCTTATTTTACTTAACCAATCTAATTATAACTTTAGACAACTCAAGAATTTATTTTATGATACATTTGAAAATTTAAATTCACAACTCAAAGTACTCGGTCTCTCTTCCAAAAGTTACAGCAAAGCTTGCATTTTATTTATTTATTTATTGCTATTATCTTTTAGTAGTTGTACAAAAGGGTTTCAATTCAGCATATCAGTTTATGAGTACAATGTGTCCCGACCAAGGTCATGCTGTGTTTTACGTGTGTTTATGTGTTTATTGATCAGCCAACCTTCTGGTAACATCAATAAGGTTTGATTTGCCCCATTTTTAAATAAGCAGAAAAGGAAAAAGGCTAGTGGAGGTTATAAGACACTTGTTCACATTGTATACCTAAAGGCACCTAATGAAGAGCCTGGATGAGGAAAGGAAAAAAAAGCCTAAATTTGAATTTTTTGTTTTTGTTTTTGTTGGTCATGGGGCTTGAACTCTTGGCCTGGGCGCTGTCCCTAAGCTCTTTGGCTCAAGGTGAACACTCTACAACTTGAGCCACAGCTCCACTTCCAGTTTTTCTAGTCTCATGAACTTTCCTGCCCAGGCTGGCTTTGAGCCGCAATCCTCAGATCTCAACCTCATGAGTCGCTAGGATTACAGGCGTGATGCACGGGCCCCCATCTTGAATATATTTTAACTGAAGTTTCATGTCCCAGCCTCCCTCCAATGCCCTAAGTGCCTATAGTCAAACTCCCCAGTGCATCTGTGCCAAACTGTCTGCCTAAAGGCTCTTCCGGAACAATTCCTATCCAAGATCTCAGCTTCAATGGGGGATAGAAAGCATTTGGGCATTCTGGTAAAACACTCTGAATTCTATTTTAACAGTGAGAAAGCTCTGGTAATGCTTCGTTAGTATTAATGAAGCCACTACAAAAGAGCCATCTAAAAAAGTGTATCAGCAAGGCAGGGAAATGCTTGCTTGACTGGAACAAGTGGTCTCATGGAGTAGAAAAATAATTGCCACACATGGGGGGGGGGGGGTGAGGGGGGGGGCAGGGGTCTGGGGTGATTTCTTGACAAAGGGCTCCAGGAAAAAAGAGAGCTGGATGAGGGCAGAAAAGAGCTCAGAAAGATCATTCATTCTGAATGTGTGGATGTGCATGGTCTCTGGGAAAAACATTTTAGGGAACCAATAGTGAAGGTAGCCCAAGAGGCAAAGAATCCTTAAAAGAGATTTGAAAGGATGGACCAGACTACCTGGGTCTATACATTTGTATTTAGTAGATTCAGATATTGAGTCTGGAAGCTCCCCAGCAGGCAGTTTATCAAGATTCCTTCCATTCCTGGAATTCCTCCTAAACACCCCTAAATTCCTGTCTTGCCCTAGATTGCCTTATTATTATTATTATTATCAGTCTTGAAAATCCATACGCATTCAAGCACTCAGTGCTATGAGGAAAACAAACCCATTGTCATGATAAATGGCATTCTCTTGGAGAGATAATAATGATAATGATTAATAATAATAATAATAATCTATCTTCCAAGAGGCATTCAGGACAGAAGTTACAAACCCCATGCATAAAGCAGGGGCTGTCTTTTAGACATGCAGCCCCACAGACCTGATTTTGTTTACATACCAAGCATTCCAAGCTTTCTTGTGGAGCAGACTTGCCCTAAGCAAGCCCATAAAGCATGAGCATCTATGTATTAACTTACAGGAGAACTGACTGGCAGGAGCTTCTTAATCACCACACTAGCAAGGAATCAGCCCTGGGAATTGTTAGAGCGAGTCAAAGGTCGGAGGCCATTGGACATTCTGACTTGATGATAGGTCTCCCCAGCTCTCCCTCTCTGTGGCAGTTGCTTGACTGAGTGAGCACTGGGAGCTTTAGTTCCAGCACTTGCCTGAATGCTGAGCTTCTATCAGTCAGTTTGGAGTCAGTTCTTCAGATTTTGAAGATATCCTTCTATTTAAAGTGACTTTACATAATGTTGTTCATTAGGCCAGAACTGGGATTTGAATTCAGAACCTGGGGCACCATCATTTAGCATTTTTGCTCAAAGCTAGTGCCCTAACACTTGCACCACAGCTTCACTTCTGGATTTTGGGTGACTAATTGGAGATAAGAGTTTTATGGACTTTCCTGATCAGTCCTCAGAACTCAGCCTCCTGAGTAGCCATAATTACAGGTATGAACTTATTCCAGATCTTAGA